AAAAGATAATTTCTTATCAACTACCACTATGATATAAAATTGTTTATGGGCATGAAGATACTTTTTTAAAGATAGTTAGAAACTATGTCAATTTAGAAAAAAGCAGAATTGAATTCATGTGTAGGTCCTATGTTCTTCCTTGCAATGTGCTTTTGATCAGGTTTACAGTATAGTTTGCTCATGTGCAGTCAGCATCTAATCTAACCGACTGATGGACTTTCTGTCACTATTACATATAACAAGTAAGAAGGGGGCTTTCAGTTCAGCTTCAGTTTGATTTTCATGTTTCATACAACCAAGGCTTACAGTGTCTTCAGCAGTATGATCTGGTTATCTACATCTGGTTGGCAACCAAGATAATAGAAAGCCTGTGTTGATTTCTGGCCCTCTAGAGCCAGTGTGAAGTGAAACTCATTAATGTTACCCCATGCTTGGCACTTGGGTTTTTGTTTTAAGAAGGGGCTTTCTCCAGCTGTGCAGGTTACTGCCACTTATGTTCTTCTTATAGGTTGATCCTAGTTTTGAATATCTAATTTTAAATACAACTTAAGAGTTATTTTAGATACTAGAAATCTATAAATTGGCCACTGAGAGGGGAAAGTATGAGGGACTGTGGATAGCTGATCATAGGTAATATTAAAGAGAAAGGACAAAATGGGATGAACAGGTTTAGCTGGGAGTGGGCAGTGGGATTGGGGAGAGAAAGGATGAGGAGCCTGCCCACCGTAATGATATAGCATATGAAAACCTACATATGTATCTGGTAAGTTTTGAGAATGAATCTCAAGTAGCCCAGGCTGTCATTAAGCTCTCTCTGTTAGTAAGTTTGACCTTAACTTTTTATTCTCATAAATCCACCATCTGGGTGCCATGATTATATCCATGCCCCACCACACCTATTTCATGATGTGATGTAGATCATACCCAGGGCTTTACCTGGGTTTTAGAAAAGCATTTTATCCACCTCCACTACCTCTCTAGCCTCTGATTTCTCAAGTTATGACATCTAACATCCCTACAACAAAGAACTCATATATTCCATAACTTTGAATATACAGAATATTAGAAACTATATTACCCTAGGCATCTTTATATTTATGTTATGTAAGTATATCTAGTATCTTCAAATATTTGGAACTGAACATGAGAATGATATATTTCCGGCTAATAACCTATTGAAATATCATGGGTTCTTTTTTGTTAGTTGGTTTGTTTCTAAATAGCTGTAATATCTGATACAAATTTTTTATCCAAATCGACAATTAGACTAAAATACTTACATCATTATTTTACATTAATTTAAAAAAGTGCAGACTATCCAACATATTATCTTTGCCTGGTGTGAAATGTCTGTTTCCTAATATACCACCAGTTATTTTCCAGGTTAATATCTAACCATTCCAGAGCACAGATTCTTATGACTGTTTCACTCCATGCATGGCTAGAATTTCCTTATGCTAATTCTGAGACTGTGTGTTGAAGACTTTTTTCTTCTTCAAGCTCATTGTCTTGAGTATTGTTGGAGTCCTTTGTGCATAACCAGTAATGTAAAGTGAAATTAATTTGCTTTTTTGAATATTTTATGAACAACCACAGCTACCTACATAGTTCTGATGCCTATAAAAATAATCACTGTGGGTCACATTATTTAAGAAGAAAGCATTGTCCCTGAATATGCTAATGGAAATACTTTTCTGTTTGCTTTAGTCTTTCTCTAGTATTAACCTATGTTTCTTGGTGTTACATAATATTTCTAAGTAAAATAAAATTTATATATAAATGATTACAATGAATCTTGGCATTCGTTTTTGCATTCACAATGAAACTTTTAAATGGAAATGGAAACATTTAGTTTATAAATAGAATTCCCCAAATTACCTGATTTATATATTTATATTTAACTCATGCATATATATATATATATATATATATATATATATATATATATATGAGAATTAACAGGAAAGTAGAAACATAAAATAAATTATTTCTGACAAGTTTTATCTTACATCTTGATAAGCACATAGACCACTGATAGTGCTTATTAATTTTTCCCCAATGATGGTAAGTGAGAAAAGATCGAAAGGGAAATATGATACAAAACTTTATCTTTTCCTTTATGTCTGCTATCATTTTCAGGATAAGTGGTTGTTTGAACAGGCAATTCCAATAAAGTGTGTGCTAGAATTCCTTGTTTTTCTTTGTTAAATATTAAATAGATCCTTCATGTACTCAAAGACAGTACTTGTTTGAAAAGGAAACAGTCTCATGGGGAGAGATACCATACTCTCCTTATCTAACAGTAGATATGACTAGCGGCATATGTGGGTCTTTGTGATTTCTATGCTCAAGGGTTGCTTTGGACACACAGAATGGCATTCTCTGCTATCATAATGGACTTTCTCAGGATACCTGGGTTTAAATATAAAATGGGAATGCATAGGTGGGAGAACTTGGGGAAATTATACTGATTCAGCTATGACTGGTGCATTGATACAACTCGCAGCATATTCTCTCTCTCATATTTAGATCCTATGTTCCATTAGTTAGAATTTGGGTGAATCAATTGGAGTATTTATAAAAACTAGCAATCTGGAAAAAGAATATTAGAAGGGGCAGAAAACTGAGGCCTTAAAGAAAGGGAGCAAAGCATATTTAACATGGACGTAAGGGATTTGGAACACCAGGATGGAAAGACATTAGCAGTAGTGGAGCCAGAAGCATAAGAGAGGATACAGATGGGGAAGAGTTAATCAAATTAAAGATGTAAGAAGAACTTCATGGATGCTTATAAGAGCTTGTAGATCTTTAAAAAAACACAATTTAAAAAGTTTTGAATGGAGGCAGCTTGTTTGGGTGAATAGAATCCAGATATGGAATATCTCTCGATCAATGAGTCACTATCTCTATCAAAAGTCAAGGCAGTCATTGATACCTACAAATCATTATAGGCCATTGTCAATATTCTCAGATGCACTCCAGAAAGAGATCATAAGCACTGTTGTCAAGACAGCACACACTTGCAACTTACTGCAAAATAAAACTGGTTCTGGGTGGAAAATGTTCTCCTTGCTATCTAGCTTTCTTAGTGCTAGAAGGTACTGTGCAAGCTATGAGGGAGAGAAATCATCTGGAATCTTACCCCACTGTGGAAAACACAAGTTAAAAGTAATGCCCCAACTGTTGCCCACAGGTGCGGTAATATCATGACAGTTTTAGGGTAGCTCACTGACCTCTGATTGGATTTGACGCCTGTTCCACTGGAGTCAAGTGCCTGATTCTGTAAACCAGATGGCTATTTCTGCTGTTTTGCTAAGTGGCCATGCTGTCAAACCGTCTTCTAACTACTTATCTGTATAATCATAGGTTAGTTCTACTCTCAGCCTTCATGGAGAAGCTTCTGTTTTTGTAGTGGATCAGAGTTAATACAGAGACTCACAACTAGCTGAAGTGTGGACAGAAAGTAGCTGTGGAGTGCTAGACCCTAAGTGGAACACTTACATCATTGTTCTCCCAAAGTTAAGATGGAAGACTATGAAACAGTGTGTTGGAAACACGCCATGGCCATCACATTAATGAACTCCTGTAGCTGTGATTATCTACACAAAACCTGATCAAAATTGGGCCCATCATTTCACCATGCATGGGGGAGAGGTTTTGAGGCTTTAGCCTTCACTGCAGATCTATGGAAAATTCGTGGATATTGAGGGAAGACTTATCAATTACTGCAGTGATAAATTACAGATGTTCCTGTAAATAAGCCCACAGTTATGCAAATGCAAAAAAAAGAACGTTAATGAAACTGAGTCAAAATGAACAGAAAGCCTTGAAGGGGAAAGGAAACTGTTGAAAGAGGAAAGATTTTAGTGACAGAGACGGAGGTAGTGAAAGGGGGAAACTTATCTGTGAAATGTACAAATTCACTATTTACACACATGAAATTCCCAAGGAATAATACATTAAATAAACTAAAGCAAGAAACAGGGAAATGAAAAATAGATTCAGGTGTAAAGTGATAGATATTTGGTACCTTAATTATTATAAAACATTAATTAAAGAATTCAAGATGGTGAGTGTCTAACATCCTTTTAAATTTTTATTATGAGAATTTTCTAACACGTGAAAATTTTTATACCAGATAATTTTTCAGCAGTGAAAGATAGCATCTATGTGATAACAGTAAAAATTACATCCAATGATGGTCTCCTTGGGGCCTTCCTGTGGGTTCTCATATAGAGCTGAATTCCCAGGGGAGACCTTGCCTTGGAGGAGGTGGGAATGGGGGGTGGATTTTGGGGGGAAGGCTGGGGGTGGTAGGAGGGAGGACAGGGGAATCCATGGCTGATATGTAAAATTAAATTAATTATAAAATAAAATAAAAAACAAACAAAAAAGATATTAAAAAAAAAAGAGTAGGCCTATAGCCTGAAGGTGGTGGGTCACTCCTTTAATCCCAGCACTTGGGAGGGAGAGGCAAATGGATCTCTGAGTTCTAGGCCAGGCTGGATTACAGAGTGAGTTCCGGGACAGTCAGAGTTATTCATATAAATTCTGCACCAATTAAACAAATTAATAAAAAAAAAAGATAACAGACCTCTATTGGCTGCAAAATTAAAGAAAAACATCCTAAGGTCCACAGACCCAGAGAGGCTAAGTAAAAAAGGGAGTATTAAGGAGTGATGCAATTATCTCCCGGGGAAGGGGAAAGAGATTTCACCCACAGGCTGAGTGGGGTTGGTGTTGGGAAGAGGAGGAATCAGGTATGTCGGGGGAGGGGATACTGGGAGAAACTACTGTAATGGGGAGCTACATTTGATGGACGAGTTGCAAACCTAGTGTAATGGAAACCGCATAGAACCTGTGAGAGTTACCGTAGTGAAGATTCCTACCAGCAATGGACATGGAGCCTGAATCAACCATCTTCTGTAAACTATACTTACTGGTAAAATCTCATGTGGAGGGATTGGGATACCAACCCAGCCACAAAACCTTCAACTTACAATTTTTCACTCCTGCATAGTGTTCTGGGACTGGTGCCGAGTAGAATCTTCATCAAAGAGACCAGAAAGACTTCATCCAGTAAATGATAGGAGCAGATCCAGCCATGCAGCAGATGCAGTCTCACAGTAAATCATTAGCCTGGAGCTCAGGGAGCCCTGAGGAGGAGGGGGAGGAAGAACTGGAGGAACCAGAGGGCTCAGGGACAACAAAAGAACACAACCCACAGAATCAACTGACCACGACTCATGGGGGCTCGATGGTATCAGGGAGTTTGTAAGGATGTGTGTGTGTGTGTGTGTGTGTGTGTGTGTGTGTGTGTGTGTGTGTGTGTGTAATAGCTGACTAGCTTTGTGTTTTTGTGAGATTCCTAACAGTGGGAGCAGGAGGCAGTCTTTGAGTCTTTGCCTGCTTGAGGGACCTGCTAAGTGGCCTTGATGTGATCCTATGTGCCTGTCTGCCATGTTTGGTTGATGTCTCTGGGAGGCCTGTTCTTTTCTGAAGGGAGGATTGGGATTGAGGGGGGGTTGGCCTTAGGGAGAGGGAAAATGGGGGGCACTGAGGGGAGGGGACAGAGGGAAAACTACAGTCAGGATGTAATATCTGGGAGGAGAATTAAAAATAAAATAAAATAAAATAAAAAAGAGTAGACCTCTGCTTAAAGCTTCATAGAGGATTATTCCCTGTCCTGCCTATACCCGAAGGCCAGAGTGGGGGCTCCTGTTCATTATCTCCATGTTTTCTCTTATTAATATTCCAGTTGTGTTTTCGTAAATCCTTTGAGGATCCTGATTTAACATGAGAATCTAAGATCATTCTTATTATCCTATGTGGTCCATTGACTTCTCTACTATATTTGTGGAAATAAGTTACACAAGACATTCAAGTCATGGCCTCCTGAGGGCTGACATCCTGGAGAGACTGAGTTTTCATTCTAATCAGTATATACTTCAAATGCAGAGAGAGATGATTGGGGCTTTAAAACATGCCAATAATTAGCCTTTTAATGTCTTTCTTACTGCAAGATTTTCCCTGTTGAGTCAATCTTTTATTGTATTGGAAAAGTTAATTATTATGTTTTATTTTTATTTTTTTAATTTTTTTTAAATATTATCTATTCTTTACTGTGCATGCCAATCATATACCTAAGAGCTATTGATATGGTCAATGCCATTGGTTTTACATGCACTTCTTTTTTTTTTATTTTATTTATTTTATTTTAGAATACTATTCAGTTCTACATAACAGCCACAGATTTCCTTGTTCTCCCCCTTCCTGCCCCCCTCCCCTTCCCCCTAGCCCACCCCCCTTTCCCACCACCTCCAGATCAAGGCCACCCCCGAGGACTGAAATCGACCTGATAGACTCAGTCCAGGCAGGTCCAGTCCCGTCCTCCCAGATTGAGCCAAGCGTCCCTGTATAAGTCCCAGGTTTCAAACAGCTATCTCACGCAGCGAGCCCAGGACCTGGTCCCACTGCCTGAAAAGTTAATTATTACAGCTATAAGTTCCGGAACTCTGGTGACAACACAGCACTTTGATTTCTGTTGACATTTTGTGATTTCATTAACTTTTTTTTAAATTTAGTTTTACAATCCATTCATTGTATGACAATATCTTTGTGTAAATACAGCCATTGATGTTAAAAGACCTGTTTTCAAGTAACTGTAATTTCTTAACATTTAGTAGCATCTTATTTTTACTGCATACTAAGGTATGTAATAGATTTTATTTATTCCCTACTCACTCATGTGTTTGCACACCTAGGTTGAAGAGATCCTCTGGCTTCCTCTTCTAAACAGGAATGGAGTGGACGTACTAATACACCATGCTAATCCAATACCCTGGGAATACTAGCCAGTTAGTTGGTTGCCATTTGTAAAGAGTTTTTTTTTTTTAATTTTCTGTAATTTTATAAATTCAATTAAGTAAATTAATTTTAAATAGTTTGTCTCTTTATTTTATATTTTTGGTTGTGAGCCTAGCCTTTAATGGCTGAGCCATCTCTCCAGCCCTTGTCTCTTTATTTTAAATGAGTTGTGTCATCTTTCAATAGTGTGTGTTTGTGTGTGAATGTGCACGAGTCCAGTTTCCCACAGAGGCCAAAAGATGATCTACCAGATCTAGAGTTCCAGATGGATGTAAGCCACTCAGTGCAGGAAGTGGAATTGGACATATGTCCTCTTTAGGAGTAAAGATGTATACTTAGGAACTACAGAGGCATGAGCAGTGCCCACATTTCAAGCTGAGTCATCTCTCCGTTCGCCTGGTAAACTTTTAGGTCTGATTCTTGTGGACATTGAAGTAAATCATTTCATCAACCACAACCCAGGAAATCTCTCACCCATAATTGTATGCTGTCATTGTCATAACGATGCATCTGCCACAGGTGTCCACTGTCTAAATTAACTGTAATTGTATGAAGTGGCAAACTCTTAATCATATCCAACAAATGATTATGGGGCCTTCCATATCTGACAGATTGATTTGATTTGCTCTAGGAATGTGACCGTTGCTTTTCTGTTTTAATATAAGTATATGGAATATCTCCCTGGATTTTTCTATTTTCACTTGATATTCTTTTTGTAATTCATTGACATTTTGTATTACATTTTATTGCAAATCTTACTTTGTATTCTAATACATTATATTTTTGCAATTTCTCTGAAAGATTTTTTTTCTGATTTTTTCAAATAATTTATGTTTGATAAATAGTTGATGAATTCTTAGTGGTATTTTGGTGGTGTCTTTTAAAATATCAACTACTAGATTTTACTGTTTACTAGATTTTATATCCATATGGTTATTGGGAATGATAATTTTGAGCTTTAAGTACAGATTTTGGAAAGAATGTAAGAAAAAAAGGCTATGATGATTTTTGTATGTAACTTAAAAGGTATTAAGAATAATATTGAAAAATATAAATATTTTTGTGTGAAAGCACTTGACATAACATAAAGTTAAATTTAGCATGCTTTTTGACATACATTCTATTGTCTTACTTCATTTATCTTATTAAAGTGTGTGGCCTTCAAAGTATAACCATTTTAACAAAAACATTGTGGTAATTATTTTTAATAACATTCTTCCAAATAATAATTAAGCGTGTGGTAAGTTAAATAAAGAATGATCAGTTTAAACATTCACAGCATAATCCACTGAGGCATGGTGAGCAAATAGAACTGTAATTGAAAATTAGTCATACTGCTTTATTATGATTTAAATAATCATTTTAATTAGTTAACAAGTAGATTATTGTTTTGATTATTTTAAAAGTTAGAAAACTAAATATTTCTATCATTTATTACCATTAAGAAATTATGGAGGATGTGTTTATTTAGTTGATTGCATTATTACAGAGATTGAATTATTTGAATGAGAATGGAGTTCTTGAAAGCAAATTTGAAAATTCCAATTTTTTGAATATAGAATTACCATGCTTTAAACATAATGAGTTTTAAACTTAGCAATGGGTTGTCTCTAAACAAATGGGCCACTATAAATTTCAGTTACCAACTCTTCAGTCTTGATATCTTTCTGCAAATATAGCACTGCAACTACTTTATATATGACTAGAAAAAAATTGAACCAGAACTTGATTTATGTCCTTGTTTTCTAATAATCAATATAAAAGTATTGGATATTGAATGAGATTTTATGTATACTTTTCTTTTGTAAATGTTAATTATGTTACTTAATATTAGAATTCTGAATCCTGAATACAAAATTTCTACCATCTTATCACATAGCTATATTCTCAATACTAGAGTAAGTCCCACGAAAATGTTTTAACTTTAAGTACTTTTCTATGTAAACAGTTATATGTTTTTAAATGTACTATTTAAATAGCTTTATGTTATAATCACCTACTTTATAATGAGTGCTGACCTAGGTTTTTAAGAACTTGAAAGGAAGTTAAATAAAATGAGCAGGGAAATCAGAGGATGGTAACCTTTTGCCAATCAGCATCATATGTCAATCACACTATCAAATAATTTTAGGCTGTGTACAGTTATCACATGAGAAAACTTAGAACATTTCAGGAATGAAATTGATATTGTGAAAGTTTAGACAATAAGAACATATGTGATCTGCACACATGTGTTTTTACATATATGTATAAATACTCATTTTTTTGTTCTTACTCTTTCCTCTCCCAACTCTTCCCAAATCATCCCCACCTCTCCTCCCACACAACTTCATGTTCTTTATCTCTTTCTCAAAAACAAAGCAAAGGAAGACAAATGAAATGAAAAGTCATCAAAAAACAAAACAAAACAAAATAAAGACCCCAAAGCCAAACAAAACAAACAAGCAAACAAAAACAATCCTTCAACCCATAGCCATAATAGTATACATAAACATTGTGTCCATTTCATGTTGGTCAGTTACTCATGAGCATGAGGTCTGCATTGGAGAATAGTTGGTGTCACTCCATTGACTAAAACTGATTTTCCCTCATTCAACAGATTATCACTTGCAGATAGCGTCTTGGTTACTTGTGGGATTTTATGTCTACTTCCCAGTCTTAGTACTTGGATATTGTCTGGCTTGATTTTGTGCAGGTCTTATGCATGCTGTCACTTACTGTGGGTTCCTTATGTATTTTGATCTTGTGTCTAGATGATACAGTTTCCATAGAGTCATTTAACATGTCTGCCTCTCATGACTTTTCTGTCTTCTCTTCTGTATAGATACTCAGTCTTGAGAGGAATGTCTTGATAAACATTTAGGGCTTAGTGTTCCAAGGTCTCTCATTGTACACATTTTTTAGTTGTGAGCATTGGTGTCAGTTATCACCTACTACTACAAGAAGCTTTTCTAATGAGGTTGAACAATGTACTGATCCTATGGGTATGCCATTAGGTGTCATCTTATAGCTGTGTTGATTTAGTAGATTTTATGTGGAGACTAGAATGATTTATGTCTGAAAACAGAACTGAGGCAACAGGGGATGGAATAAAGTAAAGTGAAAAATGAAGAAAATGACAGAAACATATACATAAAACTGAGATCACACTGGCCTGTAGTGCTGCATGCCTTTAATCCCAGCACTTGGGAGACAGAGGCAGGTGAATCTCTGTGAGTTTGAGGCCAGCCTGATCTACAGAGTGAGATCCATGATTGGCACCAGAAGTTAAACAGAGAAACTCTGTCCAAAGCAAAAAAAAAAAAAAAAGGTGAGGTCAGGTGGGATGTGTGCACTTAATTATGATGGAGTAGCACCAAATACAAACAAAAAACTCAGCATGTTGATTATACACAACACAAAGAAGTGTCTATAGACAAGCAGTGTTATGCTCTAAATATTTGGAAGGATAAAGCCACACTTGCTAGGTTTTACACAAATATCTGCACTGACCAAAATAAGGTTTTTCAGTTATGAGCTTGATAATTATGGGGAAGGCTTTGCTAGTTTACTATTGATCTGAGATACTTGGTCCTTGACATGCTATTTCACTCATAACTTCCACTCTCTCTTAAACTTTCACTAAAGGATTCTATAGCTACCACATTAAAAATAGGTTTACCCCCAGAGCCCATGACCTTTCTAATTTCAGGTTCTTGACCTCATTAAGATTAAAAGGTAAAGATTCTACATCATCAAGTGGGCCTTGAATACAATTTATAAAAATGGTTGGTTACTCCATAACTTCTGAGCCACTAATGCACCAGTATATGTTGCAGGCAGATTGTTACTGTAATTTGCAGGGTTAGGTAAAAAGGGGGGTTGAGAAGGGATGACTAACAGTTGAGTTCTTTTGAAAAGTCATGTGGAAATCTACTATTCTAGAAGCTTCCTAGATATATATGAAAGGAACTTTTATGGAATTGTTATATACAGAAAACATGAGATTGAATGTAAGCAAACAAAAATGAGACATCTGTAGCATACCTCCTCACCCCATGGTTCAGTAATCATAATAGATGAAGAGCTTGATTAATTATAGAGCTAGAGATAGTGGAGGAATTATGTTAAATAATGTTTTCTACACCTAGTACGTAACTGCCACATGAATTCACAGAGGTTATATCTATGTGCAGAAGACCTGCACAGAATCAACCCAACTAAAATCCCACAATAAGATTATATGATATAACTTCTGAATTTTATGAAGTTTAAAACTAGTCTATACTGTTTTAAATTGGAAATAATGCGGTAAATGGGGTTTGGACCTGAAAAGACATAATGAAGAAACTCATGATTCACTGACAACATTCAGTTTCTTTGTTTACAGGGTAGAACACTCTGA